AGAGAGAGAGGCAAGATAAAGCCAGATATAGTGAAGGGAGTTATTCCAGGTATTATTAGGCACTTCCAAATCTACTCCATCACGGGGGAGGGGCCTTACACAAGAGTCAGCACGTCTGGATATATTAGTACTGATGAATACCCATAAGCTGCTATCAACATATCGGAAAGCACAGGGCAAGGCAGCAGAGAGATGCTCTGCCAGCTGCCTCTGACACAGCTAGCTTGGCCCAATACAAAGTGCACACAGTGCAAGGCGACCAACAGCCCAGAGGCAAATTGGTCTCTGCAACATAAAAAGACCTCTACCTGTCTCTCCTTCAAACCAGGCAAATATACAGCACGAACTAATGGGAAGAATTGCTTGAAATATTAATGCTCACCATTAGGAAAATAAAAATACATTTCAAAGCTTGGCACTGTCCCTGGACATTCAGTTACAACAAATCACTTCTTCCAATTCCTGTTATAATGTTCTCCCTTTCCTTTGTGGTTGATTTTTTTGGACTATTTTTATTCCTTCATTCATTATGATTTAATATAAGCCAGTTAATTTGAAGAAGGTGGGCAAGAAACCATGGATGAATAAAGGAGGAACATGGGTTATGGAGTCAACCAAAACATCAAGGTCACCTTCTGGATCTGACAGAATATAATTAAGTGACGTTGAATGGTACGAAAGTCTCTGAAGTCCCATTTGCTTAATTTGTAGTGCAGGCATACAGTAGAAGAAGTACTACAAAACAAAAGAGATCGTGTTTTAACCCTGGACATTATCCAGTGATTCGTATGGCTGCTCAAGACACAGTGGTTCTTTTCACTGTTCCCCTCAGCCCCAGATGTTTAATGCTCTGGTGTTTGGTCACAAGGATGAAAGTTGCCAATTTAAGAATTAATAGGGCCGGGCACAGTGGCTCAGTCCTGTAATCTTAACACTCTGGGAGGCCAACATGGGTAGATTGCTGAGCTCACAAGTTTCAGACCAGCCTGAGCAAGCGCAAGACTCCATCTCTACTAAAATAGAAAAACTGAGGCAAGAGGATTGCTTGAGCCCAAGAGTTGGAGGTTGCTATGAGCTGTGACACCATGGCACTCTACCCAGGGCAACAGCTTAAGACTCTGTCTCAAAAAAAAAGAATTAATAGAAAGAAGTGAAAGGAAGTGTCAAGGAATCTAAACAGAACATACCCAGAAATTCAGATGAACAGTTGAACGGGATGATAGAGTCTGAAAATGTGAGGTTCTGAAGGTATCCCCTTTAATGCAAAAGTCAGTTTTAAAGCCACAAGATGGGAAATCGGGATAGTCTGTTTGTTATTAAGTTCACAAGAACTGAAACAGAAGTATTCTTTACACACTGCAGGAAAGGGAGCAAGGGTAATAAATTCATAGCCAATTAAAGACCTTAAAAAACAAATGTATTAAAAATACAATGTCATTACAAATAAAATGAGTGAAAAGTCCCAGAGATTTCTGGGAAAACTGGAGAGGAGAAAAAAAGATTCAAAAGAACACTGAGACCCTTAGAGCTACGGTGTTCTGGTTTTCTTCCCTGCCCTCTCCCCATCCCTACCCCACCAAACCCACAAAAACCAAAAGGGGAAAGCATAGCTCTTTGTAGGAAAAACAAGGTGTATACCCGAGGTCACTTTCTCTAGAGGAAAATCTATTAGATTTTTCTAAGAATTCAGTGTAACAGAGATTTAAGAAAAAGGCATGTATCATGTATTTCTAGGTTTAAGGAGAAATAGCCTCGTGAAGCCAAATCTCAGTTCTTAACTATAACGATATATCTTTCTGAACACTGCTAAGAATAAAAATTCAAATTTCAGAGCTAGAAGTGGGTCATCCAGGATTAAAATCAGGTTTCCTGATTCCCCTGTTGGTGACTGTCTATGTCTGTGGGGGGAATAGCAAATCTCCTAGGAAGACACAAGTTGTCTTGCCACCTTCCAAGAGGCCCTTGGAATTCTACTATACTCCCCTTTGTGGTTTGAGTCTTCCATTGCTGATTACCAAGCAACCATTCAGTGGAATTTGGTGATACCACAGCTCAG